TAGTTAGACAACACCTTCTACACTACTCTAATTCGCACGTTTTGTTGAATCTATGAAGACTAGTCGTCATAGTACAATAAAGTAGGCAGAAAAAAGGAAAAAATAAATTTGAAATCACAATCAACAATATTTTCAGTGCATTATTGAAAGTTTCTTTAAACTTTCAAGAACCCATTCTGTCCATCAAATGTTTAATATCATACTTGCGTTATAGAGGCATTTATAATGTAAATATTTATTATTTTAAAGTCCCAGACGTTATTTCCATTGCAAACATTTGTTTTTTGCTCACAGACACGAGGGTCAATTGACAAAGAGTTGATCAAAAGAGTGCAAGAGTGGCGCTAATTATAGAATGTTTAAAATAGATGTGTTAGTCAGGTGCATGTGCGTTCGTACTGGAAATGTGCGAACATTAATTACACGTTGCCGTCTAGCGACGTTTTGTACTCGAATGTTTTTTTACGATAATTATTATTTTCTGTATACCATCACGCAAACATCTGAAAAAAAAAACTAACCCCATTTGTTAAAATAATTTACGTAGAACAATTACTAATTATTGTATTTTTGAGTAGTAAAATCCTATTATTTTAATATATTTTAATCAGCGATTAATATACCTACCTAGTCGTATAGCTATTATTATATGTGGAAAGACAAAACAACCTAACATAATATTGTAACAATTGTTTAATTTAAAACAGTTTATTTATAACGTACTAATTAATTTACTTAATCACTATTATAATTGACACTTCTAATTTATTTTTACAATTTATCTTTACTTGATATTAAGACATATTTAAAATTAACTATCTGCAAAATGTCTATTTATATTAGAAACGTTATGTTCCAAACAACTCTAGGCCTACATTGAGCTTGTCTAGAAAGATCTCGAAATGTTGCCGTCGTTGAGTAGGCGTCGGTGATCTTTGGATGGTTAGGGATAAAGCGAAAATCCTTGTTTTATGAGTCAATATGTGTACAAAGAACTTTGTGGTATTCTCTCGGATGTATCGATGAAGAATGGACGTCGCCCTATAGAGCAGGACCGGATTTGATCACTTCGCACGACATTATACACGTATTCAAAGAAGAGAGGTTTAAAAAATGAAACTCCAAACCTATTCTCCAAACAACAATCCATCAAACTAGAGCTTGCGAATATTTCAAACTAGCTTTAATAAATTCAACGATGAACTCAAATATAAAATGAGTTTTTTACGGTGAATCATAAAATTAGTCATGTGACAGTAGATTCCATTAAGGGATGTAGAGAAAGTTAGTTGATGTTATAGACAAAATATTCAGGAGTTCTTTTTCATTGTTTTCATTTCTTGGTAGCTGATCAGACAGTAAAACAGCTGGTACACTAAACCAATTACCAAACACATTGAGAAAATTCTCAAAGATTGGTTTCTGCTTCCACATTGTCAATCACCAAAAATGATGACTAATTTATCTTTTATTTTTACTTTAAATGGAGGATTTGCTTTCAAAAAGGAGTTCAAGTCACTAATTTAAATAGTATTCGTTTTGAAATTGTTTACAAACGAGTCGTGTGGCCTTAAGACCTTCAACACTAGTACTCATACTAAGCCCAGATAGCACAAGTACGTCTTATGGACATTCTAAAAAACATTCAGGACATCCTTGAAACGTCCATTTCACGGACATGGACGTCTTATGGACGCCTTTGGAACGTCCATTGTTAATAATCAGGATATCTTAAGAACATCCATTTAAGGACATTCCATGGACATTTTCAAAAGCTCAAATGGGGAATAACAGGATGTAAAGAAATTGAATCGGTCATTTGAGAAACAACACATGTCAGTTTTAGATAATTTTTCAAAAAATAAGAAAAAGTGAAAATCTCAAAACATGAATAAAAAATAGTTGTGTTCACTTAGCGTTTAAAACTTGCTCTATTTTGGGTATAATACAATATTTATAATTTACCTTTAAATATTGCATTTTTGTAATAAAAACAAAATGGCCAAAAATGTGACATGTGTCGTTTCTCAAATGACCGATTCAATTAGTGAAAATAATGAATAATTTTAAATTTTTGTTTGGAAGCAAATAACCTATAAATAATAAATTAAAACTTTTTCGTCAAATTCATTCAGTCTCTCCTCTACTTTGATCTTTTCAACCATGCCTGGATTGACAGCAGTTGTTTTTTTTTTATTTGGCCATATTTGCCTTCTCATTTGAACCTGAAAATAATTTAATCGCTTATTCAAAATAAAAGACAAATCAATATGAAAATCCAATCTGTTTGTTTAAGTTTGCCCTGCTAGACATTATGAATTAACTAACCTTTTAGCTTTGTAGTATTCACTGGAAAACTTCTCTACTTTGCTCTTTTCAACCATGCCTGGATTGACAGCAGTCAGTTTTTTTCTTGATTTGGCCATAATTGCCTTCTCAGCTGAATCTGAAAATAATTTAATCGCTTATTCAAAATAAAAGGCAGATCAATATTAAAATTCAATTCTGTTTTGTTTTAAGTTTGTCTTGCTAGGACATTATAAATTCACTAACCTTTTAGCTTTGTAGTATTCACTGGAAAACTTCCACCTTTCTCGGACTTAACAATGGTACGAACTGCAAAAAATTAATAATTAACCACAAACTCACAGAGTCGAATCACAGTCAAATGGCGGAATGTTAGAACTTGTACTCGTATAATATGTAAATACTATCGACTCATGAACATTGAACACCATGTTTTTTTCTTTTTTTTTTAATAAAACCTGAACCCTGAGAATATTTCATTGTTTGAATCTAAATAAATAAAAATAAAAAATAAAAGTCACTTGTCAAAAATGCCCCTTTCTTGCAAATGACCTTCGTTTTTGTCTATTTGGCCTTCATTTAATTGGATATTGGGACAATGCTATCTTTAATAATTATTTATATTATCTCATTATATATGTTTTTTATATAATATAAGCAAATAATAATACAATGCGAATGTGAATCCATGGAAATATAGTAAAGCACCTAGAATTGACGTTCTGCGGATATATATTTCTTGACGTCCCGAGTATTTACTAAACGTCCATAATTGGTCCTGGACGTACAGACGATAAATGGACATGCAAGATACGTCCTTAGGACGTCCTGTGCTATCTGGGAGTATATTTTGTGTATAACCCTACAGCGGTGGCCCCATAGATTCAAACTCCTGATGAAGTTTAGAAACATTTTGAGGCTATTTCTATTTTATTGATTTGGTTAGGTGATGGGAACAGAAACACCTATTCTAGATCATTTAACCTAATTTTGACTATAATCTTACAGTCGCAGCGATCTAAATATAAGATCCCCTTTTTCGTTTAAAGTAAACTGTGACCAGTATGTATATTTACAGTAGAGACTGCAAGAGTAATTTACCATAGTCGAGTGACGTAACTACGAATTTTATTCACTTGTTTCAATTCCTGTAAAAACAGTTCACAACTCCTATATAAACAGTTCATCTTTCTTTGTCGAAAATGATTCTTGTTCGGTATAAACAGAAACCTTCTAGAAACTAGGTTTGTTTATCACATACAGGGATCTAATTGTTCTATAAACCAGATCTCCCCTAAAATTGATACCTTCCTCTCATCTTAAATTCACTTATAGTTTCTTGGCTACTTAGTCGCAAAAAATGGCATGTCTTAGAAGATGAAGAATAAAAAACTATAAAATATCACAGAATAGCTATTTATGTATAGGGTTGCCACATTTCCGGAAATGAAAAGCGTGGCAACCGTGACGATAGAGCACTTTTATATAATAAAGTCCAAATTTGTAACCATTTCTAAAAAAAAAACCCTCGACTTATTTATTTTTTGTGAACATTTCTAAAAAAAAAGTCCTCCACTTATTTTTCGTACAGACGAGGGTCTTTTACCCGGTCTATTTTTATGTAAATCCGATTCCTCTGCGGCTTTTAAAAAGCGTGGAATTTGCATAAAAAGCGTGCAGGCAAGTCAAAAAGCGTGGATGCCACGCCAGAAGCGTGACGTCTAGCAACTCTATTTATGTAACGTGTTTTTACTAGTTTTTTTTATAAAATTATGCTGGGTAAAAAATAACCATTAGTTTTTGTACTTCTAATGGAAGATTTTAGAAAATTTAATATTTGGATAAAAATGTTTGGAAAGATTTTTTTTATAATTGACATTATTTAAATGAACACAGGTAGTCATTTTTTTTAAAAGAAAATTTTTATTAATGTATGCTTACGGTTACTTAATTTTATTAAAATTACCTCTATAATGCAACTGATATTACTCCTATCTGCATTGTTAGTTGCATAACTTAATAGTATCGATAAACGTCAAATAAACCTAATTACAAGTATAAGGATATCTTTAATGTTTTCTCCATAAAGTCACATCAGTGTCCTGATATGTGTGTAACAGTTTTTTTTTATTATTATTTTGAACAGGTTTATGATATGATGGACCAAGACGCTTTAAAATAGCAACCGAAATAAAATTATTAGTAACTTGTTGCATAAAGTAAAATTTGGAACTTGCTGAGATTACAAAAGATGTCAGTTTATATGTCAAAATTAAAAAAAATATATATATTTTTTATAACAGCTTTATAATTATTCGAACGAAAAGGTTACATAACATGACAACTGACAAATGACATTCGTACCACCTTGCGGCCGCCGACTTTTAGACTAGTTTCTTTTCGCCCATTCTAAGTTGCATATTGTATGTTGTATCGAAAGAAGTTTGTTTCGTAATCCATGTACCACAGCGATAGTACAACACTATTGTATTGTTACCTATTAAAAACAAAATTCAGGCGACTCAATTGGCCAAAGCGCAGCATCACATGAGAGATAGGAATTATATTCACAGCGGAAACTCATTTTATTTAATAAAACCGAAACTAACTAAATGATCTGAAATTAGATGTACATTAATAAGCCCTTAATTTCTTTACAAATGAAATATCTAATTGTATATTTTTAATTTCAGATACCGCCGCACCATACGTTCTCTATAAAGATGGCATGGACAGAGCTCAGAGCCAATGGTGCCCTCAAGACGCCTACCCGCCCCCTCAACAACAACCAACAACAGTGGGAGCGGGCAGTCCGCAACAGGCTCTTGGCCCTACAGTCCCACTGGGTGTGGAGGCAGATACGGTGCCCCCAAGAGACCAAAGTCTTCCGTCGCCCGCACCATCACCTTACCCTGCCACTCAAGCGGAACAAAGAGAAGAAGAAATACAGCCAGATCAGCCCACAATGGACATGGAGCCTCGGCCTGCATCACAGTGCTTTTCGACAGATTTACAACAACAACAACAGCAGGCGTATCAGCAGTATGCCAGAGCACCCCCGCCGGCAGCTCCACCTCCTGTACCGCCTCATATGTTAGGAGCGGGGAGTTTCTCAGCTCTGCAGTACCTTAAACAACCTGGAGTGATGTTAACAAGTTTAGGGCCAGATACGAGTGGGCAGTTAGACCAGTACACGTCTCAAATGCAAGACCTGCGTACAGCATCTTTACCTGACGTTATCCAGCAACAACATGCTGTCTTGAAGAAAGCGCCTAATGGTTTAAACGGAGAATTACGGTTGTTTAAATGCTTGACGTGTGGAAAAGACTTTAAACAAAAATCTACGTTGCTGCAACACGAGCGGATCCATACAGACAGTAGGCCATATGGATGTCCGGAGTGCGGGAAGAGGTTCCGACAGCAGAGCCATCTAACGCAGCACCTGCGGATCCATGCGAACGAAAAGCCTTACGCTTGCGTGTATTGCGAACGGACGTTTAGACAGAGGGCCATTTTGAATCAACATCTACGAATCCATTCCGGTGAGAAGCCATATGAGTGCCCGGAGTGCGGGAAACACTTCCGGCAGAAGGCTATCCTCAACCAGCACGTCCGCACACACCAAGGCGAGCGCCCCGTTCCTTCATAGGCGGCGGCCACTCTCGCAGCCCCCCCGTGACACCAATTTTGGCTATGCTTGTTGTGCCGCACGACGGGCGGTTAGAGTTGGTCTGCTGCACTTCCCCACACTCTCTTTCTTAGATATCACTTTTACTGTAGATTCTCTTCAACCAACGTTTTTAGTGGAATTATTTTTATTTTATTACAAACATTTTAAACGGCACTTTCTAAATATGTATTATGAATCTTTTTTTTTTATATAGCTTTCCAAGAATCATTCCACTAAATAACGTACACCCTGTCTCGATCCATTATAGCAAGAACTATTTTTCAAACTTATTAATAATTAAGTATTCACTCTAGCAATATAAATATAAAAATAAACAAAAAAAGGAAAAGATAAAAAACACAAATTCCGTATCACAGAAATAACGAACGGCCATTTCCATTAACAAAACAACTACTCCTTTGGCTAATACAACAAAGGTATATAGCAAAGATTGAAAATAAGTTTCAACACTGTAACTTTTATTTTGCTTCTTGAGGAGAACGTCATTCTTGGACCGGTTTCGTCCTTATTAGGACTCATCAGCATAGGGTTACCAGATGAAATTTTCTTCATCCAGGACAAGTTTATAAAAAAATCCGGACAAAATCCGTACGTTATCAAATTTCTTCTTAAAAAGTAAGAAATGTAATATGTTTCACATTATTTACTTAATGACATATTATGGTTTTATTTACTAATTCCATATGACTAATAAAACAATAAAGACAAAAATCATAAACAACAAAGTTAACATGATTAAACAAAACAAAGGAACAGAATATCCTTACAAGTACTTTTTCATTACACTGTATTTTATTTAATAGCTTTAAAGTTTCTGATAAAAGCATAAAATCGTAAAACTGAACGACTCATATATCTTTTAATTATAACATGTCATAAGTTTTCCTTTTACAGAGGCCAAAGCATTCATTTGTTCACTGGGCTGCAATAAGTGAAAAAACTATTTTCACATTGGCATTGTGGGAAGGGATTGCAAAAATAAAATCAGCTGGTTTTAACAATTCTAAAAAACTTTTGTGGTTGTTGTTGTTGTTGTTGTTGTTGTTGTTGTTGTTGTTGTTGTTGTTGTTGTTGTTGTTGTTGTTGTTGTTGTTGTTGTTGTTGTTGTTGTTGTTGTTGTTGTTGTTGTTGTTGTTGTTGTTGTTGTTGTTGTTGTTGTTGTTGTTGTTGTTGTTGTTGTTGTTGTTGTTGTTGTTGTTGTTGTTGTTGTTGTTGTTGTTGTTGTTGTTGTTGTTGTTGTTGTTGTTGTTGTTGTTGTTGTTGTTGTTGTTGTTGTTGTTGTTGTTGTTGTTGTTGTTGTTGTTGTTGTTGTTGTTGTTGTTGTTGTTGTTGTTGTTGTTGTTGTTGTTGTTGTTGTTGTTGTTGTTGTTGTTGTTGTTGTTGTTGTTGTTGTTGTTGTTGTTGTTGTTGTTGTTGTTGTTGTTGTTGTTGTTGTTGTTGTTGTTGTTGTTGTTGTTGTTGTTGTTATTGTTGTTGTTGCTATTAAAGAGAACAATTTTAAAATCTGAACGCTTACGCAAAATCCGCCCGGACACACGGATGTAGTCAAAACCCTACATCAGCTTAACTATAATTTACTTACTTAAATCAAAGAAACTGGTCCAAATAATTTACATTTAAACAAATTATAACATTTCAAAACAAAAACAAAGGCAGTATACAATGAAAATAGAGAAATTAAATATAATGGAAAACTCAATGAGGAATTATTAACCTCTGAAGTATCTTAACAAATGATGGAAGATCCTGAAATAGATATAGCAACAAGATAAGGAAAGACAACAAAAATATTACCTTGAATAAGTCCGTATTTGGAAAATGACAAGTAAAAGAAAATAATTAAATTATTCATAATGTAATAGGAGTATCGTCACGAATCAAGAAATGAGATATTCGAGAACAAAGCCAGACAAGGCAAAACAGAATTATAAATTCAGAAATACAAAATAAAATGTAACATAAAACAAAAAACAATCATTTGGGAACTAGAGAAGAAATAGAATAGTATGGACACGTAGTAAGGATGAAACACAACAGAATATCAAGTTTTAAAATTGAAAAGATCAAAAAAATATAATAGAGATAGAACAAAGTATTCGTTGGATAAAGAGAGGACAGAAAAGGTAAAAATATACATGAAAATGAGTATTAGTCAAAACAAAAACTGAACCTATAATCCGACAGTCTTGGACCCCGCACACCGCTTATGGAAAAGTGGCGACCTGTTAAATGTCATAAATTTTTGATATGTTGCAGTTCTCGACCTCCTAAGCAATAGTGTCCATGGGACCATTCAAATCCTATGACTAGTTTTTGAGATACAGGGTGTTAAACTTAAGAAATACCACTTATTTGGTAACGGTTACTTCAGGAGAAAGCTAGTCGAATATAATGTTTTGTGCCAAATCTTATTATAACATCTTTTTGCATTCTACAGATATAAAAAGGGGTAACAAATTATTTTCTTTTACAGGGTGAGCTACAAATAAGTAAGGACGTGTTTTTGATAAATACTTTTATTGTTCTAGAAGATGAAAATATTTACTAAAAAATAAATTATTGCTATATTTATTATGTCTGATGATAAAACAAAAGATATTAGGTGCCATTTATACAGGGTGATTCGTAAATATTGACATAGGCCAATAATTTTTTTATAAGTATTAATGTGAAACGCAGTATTTTTACGGGACTTTTTTGTATTTACGATATATAAAATTATCCAATTCATTGACTACAGGGTGATTTAATAAATATATTGATAGGTAATTTATCAAATGTTTCATAAAAACAATTTTTTTTAAGCACCCTATATTTTTTTATTAGTCCTGTAAAAGTATACAAATTTTTTCACTGGCGTATCATCCGTCCTGTAGCAGATATTTTCCAAAATAACAGCTCTTTTCTATGATTGGTTTTTGAGATACAGGGTGTTAAACTTAAGACATACCACTTATTTGATAACGATTACTTCAGGAGAAAGCTACTCGATTATAATTTTTTGTGCCAAATCTTATTATAACATCTTTTTGCATTCTACAGATATAAAAAGGGGTAACAAATTATTTTCTTTTACAGGGTGAGCTACAAATAAGTAAGGACGTGTTTTTGATAAATACTTTTATTGTTCTAGAAGATGAAAATATTTACTAAAAAATAAATTATTGCTATATTTATTATGTCTGATGATAAAACAAAAGATATTAGGTGCCATTTATACAGGGTGATTCGTAAATATTGACATAGGCCAATAATTTTTTTATAAGTATTAATGTGAAACGCAGTATTTTTACGGGACTTTTTTGTATTTACGATATATAAAATTATCCAATTCATTGACTACAGGGTGATTTAATAAATATATTGATAGGTAATTTATCAAATGTTTCATAAAAACATTTTTTTTAAGCACCCTATATTTTTTTATTAGTCCTGTAAAAGTATACAAATTTTTTCACTGGCGTATCATCCGTCCTGTAGCAGATATTTTCCAAAATAACAGCTCTTTTCTATGATTGGTTTTTGAGATACAGGGTGTTAAACTTAAGACATACCACTTATTTGATAACGATTACTTCAGGAGAAAGCTACTCGATTATAATTTTTTGTGCCAAATCTTATTATAACATCTTTTCGCATTCTACAAATATAAAAAGGGGTAACAAATTATTTTTCTTTACAAAGTGAGTTACAAATAAGTAAGGATCTGTTTTTGATAATTATTTTTATTGTTCTAAAAGGTAAAAATATTTCCTAAAAAATACATTATTGCTTTATTTATCATGTTTGATGATATTAAAAAAGATATTAAGTGCCATTTATACAGGGTGATTCGTAAATATCGACATGGGCCAATATATTTCTTTTATCAAAAAAAAAGCTATAATTTTGAAAGATATCTATTATAGAATAATTGATACGCCAGTGAAAACAATATTTCTGGTTTTAAAGGACTAATCAAAAAGTATAAGGTGTTTAAAAAATTGTTTTTTTGACACATTCGTTAAATTAACTATCAATATATTTATCAAATTACCCTGTAGACAATGAATTGGATAATTATACATATGATAAATACACAAAAGTCCCGTAAACATACTGTGTTTTACATTAATACTTATAAAAAAATATACTGGCCCATGTCGATATTTACGAATCACCCTGTATAAATGGCACTTAATATCTTTTGTTTTATCATCAGACATGATAAATAAAGCAATAATGTATTTTTTAGGAAATATTTTTACCTTTTAGAACAAAAAAAGTAATTATCAAAAACTCGTCCTTACTTATTTGTAGCTCACCCTGTAAAGGAAAATAATTTGTTACCTCTTTTTATATCTGTAGAATGCGAAAAGATGTTACAATAAGATTTGGCACAAAAAATTATAATCGAGTAGCTTTCTCAAGAAGTAACCGTTATCAAATAAGTGGTATTTCTTAAGTTTAATACCCTGTATCTCAAAAACCAATCATAGGAAAGGGCTGTTATTTTGGAAAATATCTGCTACAGGACGGATGATACGCCATTGAAAAAATATTCATACTTTTACAGGACTAATAATAAAATATAGGGTGCTTAAAAAAATTGTTTTTTTGACACATTTGATAAATTACCTATCAATATATTTATTAAATCACCCTGTAGTCAATGAATTGGATAATTTTATATATCGTAAATACAAAAAAAGTCCCGTAAAAATACTGCGTTTCACATTAATACTTATAAAAAAAAATATTGGCCTATGTCAATATTTACGAATCACCCTGTATAACTGGCACCTAATATCTTTTGTATTATCATTAGACATAATAAATATAGCAATAATTTATTTTTTAGTAAATATTTTTATCTTCTAGAACAATAAATGTATTTATCAAAAACACGTCCTTACTTATTTGTGGCTCACCCTGTAAAACAAAATAATTTTTGACCTCTTTTTATATTCGTAGAATGCCAAAGGATGTTACAATAAGATTTGAAACAAAAAATTATAATCGATTAGCGTTCTCCTGAAATAACAGTAATCAAATAAGTGGTATTTTTTAAGTTTAACACCCTGTATCTCAAAAACCAGTCATAGGATTTGAATGGTCCCGTGGACACTATTGCTTAGGAGGTCGAGAACTGCAACATATCAAAAATGTATGACATTTAACAGGTCGCCACTTTTCCATAAGCGGTGTGCGGGGTCCTTTGGCATAAGCAAGAAAGAAGAAAAATATGTGTTGTTGTGTTGTGTGAGAGATATGGCTTCGGATGGTGTCCATTTGCCACAGAATGTTTAAATAATAGAAACGGAATACAGAAAAGAAAGAAATAAGAGTAGTGTCTCAAATATCTAGCTTAGTGTCGCATATAAATTTAATTAAAATATCGAGGATATGTTTATCGGTGCTTGTCATAAGGGATGTCAAATTTACTGGTAGAGGAAAATTGAGAGAGATTAAAAATTTATATAGCCCAGATGTTTGTAATGCATAATTTTGACATTCAAAGAAAAGGTGATTGGCGTCTCCAACCGACGTATTATTGCAAGTGCAAGTGGGAGAGTCTATGAATATTATGTAACGTGTGGAGGGTGGGTTAAACAACGGCAGTATGCCCATTCTGCATCCTCCTAAGTATACATGCACCTCCTAGCTCTTGAACCAGCCTACAGATTTAATATAGTTGACAACATCGCCAAAAGATGCTTCTTTTATATCGGCTGGTGTTGGCCAATTCTCGACGAACACAAATTTTCTAATAAATGAGATCGTCGGGCAAGCGTAGAGAATATGCTCGATGGTCTTATCAACTTGTTCGCATCCCCTGCAGAGTGCCAATTCTGCCAGCCCCATGATGTGAAGATACTTCCGTAGTTGGCAATGTCCAGTCACAATATCTGTGATCAGGCGCAGATTCTGTATTTGTTTGGAAAACTTATTCATGATAGTTTTAGAATAAGATTTTTATATTTTTAATCATGATAAATACCAATTATTTTCGTTTAAAAAGATTTTCTTTGAATTCACATTTGATTAAAGCCTAAAATCTACACTTTTCTCAGTATGTTATTTTCTTTATGGCCTACTGGCTAACAGTTCTCGCTATTCATTAGGCCCTTTTATTTTTATGGTTCTTAAAAAGTGGTCAAATAACGAATTTTAAGTAACTTATTCAAGTTTAGAAGCTAGGGAAAGGGTTTTTTAATGTGTGTTTTTTTATCATGCGGTAAAATTAGCTCTCAACAAAATTCCTAATGGGATACCTATTCTTTTTCAGCTCACTGTATTGATTTGGACAGTTAAATTGTTTCAAAGATTATTTTTGCAGTTTCTCACATTCTAAAGGTCTAACTTTGAAGTAACAATATCGAATTTTGTTAGCTAGTTCAAGAGTTATTAGCAGTCCCAGGTTAACTTAGACTCAAAGGACATCGATATATTACATATGTGTATAGAGAATATCCGTGCTGATTTAGGCGGTACAATTCCAATTTAACATGTGTCCAGATTTTGTCCGATTTAAACAATTTTGTTTCGCTTTTATCCGATTAAAAACGATTTTGTCCCTCCCTGAAGTGTTTACGGTGTCGTTTTTTTGCTCTTCAATTAACCGTCACTACTTCAAATAGAATTTCTCAACGAAAAATCTCCACGCTTTCGTTTTGTCCCGCTTTCTACTTTTCAAAATATGGTCACCTTAAATGAGTCCATTATTTCTTTGTGTGTGGCATTCGTTGATAATACTATTAAATTTCAAAAGAACTACAGTTCAGCATGGACATTGGTTGCATTGCACTTTATCCTACACTACTTAGGAAACCAGTCAGAATACACATAGACTCTAGGGTTGAAGAGCTTCTGTTATCACTGGACATATATCAACATGAGCACTTTTTAAAGTTTTATTTGAACTGATCTTCGTTCTAATTTTGCTCAGTAAAGTTTATTCGAGAGTGTAAAATTTTAGCTCCAATTTCCTAGTGAACGAAACAAAGAACTATTTTACTTACACTGAGAATAAGAAGACTAAGGCTACGTTAAAACTAATATTCCTAGAGTGAATACTGATAGTGTCAAAATACTATTATTTTTTTGCACAAATAGATCGAAAGACATTTATTTTTTCTCAATACTTGTTCTGACGAATAGCTGTGAATTTTTTACTTCAATATTTTAAATCAGTATTTTTTTCTAATAAATGATTTCTCCTAAACTCTTTTGTTACAACAGCTATTTATCAGAATTTGTAAATCGTAACAATGTAATCAAACCTACAATATAATATCAAGACCCACACAAATTATTAGTTTAAAAGAATCAAAATTAATTAAAAAAATCTAAATATTATTAAATGGAGTTAAAATTGATTGTTTCCCGTATTATTAATTTTTATTTATATCTATTTATTAATGTAGATTTGCTTATTTTGTTTCAGTTACCTTGATGTTAAACACAAAATTGACTTTTGAGCTTTAATTTTTTTAAATTTTTATAGTTCTGAACAATTTTTAAAAATTTAGATTCTTGTAATAAATAATTGAAACTCGCACCGAAAGATTCCGTGAGCAAAGCCGTATAGACACCAACACAGATATTTAAAAATCGAATTCTTTTACAGATGTCAGTCCACATTTGGTCTTCAAAAACGGCGTCAATCCAACCCTCTGGCCACAAGACGTACCGTTCCCGCCAGACGAAGGAAAAGAAGAAGTTCAATCGACTTACGGAGACGGAGATAACTCCGACAGAGCATCATGCTTTTCGCCCAATGGCCTCGCTGGCAACCTTCAATATCCAGCTTACTTCAAGGATGCGAAAGGGATGAACCATGCCGTCTTTGGAGGAGGGACGAACTTCGGAGCTTTGCAATACCTCAAGCAGCAGCAACCTGGAAAAGGTTTACCAGATGTGATACAACACGGCAGATCCGCAGGTATAAACACAAATTCATTTTTAAAATAGAGTATCTTAAAAATCGTAAAGATCAGTGGAATTAATTTTGAACATTCGAAAATAAAACTGTGACTATCCTTAGTATCCTTATAATCTTTGTAATTAGGCAGTAGTTGGAGACTCAAAAATTATACGGGGAAGTACCCTGAAGGATTTTGCTATAGGAGTAACAACTATGAGTTAGGATGAAGAATGGAGAGGGTGAAACTATTTGAAAATACAGCAACAATAGTTTTCTTATCTCTTGGTTTACAGATTGTCATTGGGGGAAATACAATTTTCTAAAACTATTAAAAATATTCTGGGTTTTTCTTGAATTTGTGGAGGAGTCTGAAATCTTAGACTCTTTATTATCTTACTTATTCCCAAGAAATTGTTTTTGCTGGCGGGTAGTTTTCACCATACTAGGAGATGGCCGCTTTCACAGAGCCAATCTACAAAAAAGACTGTATTTTCAAGTTTGGAGTAATTTCACCCTCTCCACTCTCAGCCATAGTGTTTGCCTCTATGGCCAAACACTTTAGCCTGCATCTCCATATTTGAAATTCCATGACCATATTTTCATATAATTTGGGTGTGAAATTTTCGGCTTAAGCCGCTTTCGTAACTTCCAAATTCGGGACTTTTTACTTTATACCTAAATTTTACCTTTTTTTCCGCTTTCGTGACATAAGTTGATTTACCTGAAAATTAGATAAAACATTTCCGCATTCGGGACTTCTTAATCTGTACAGAAGAAGAGAGCAGCTAAGTATAAAATAAAAACCCTTCAGTTCTAAGATTTTTTTTTAATTTGGTGTCATCGGCGTCGACTTCTATGGCCATTAGCCTTGTGTTCTGTGTAGGCTTTGTTACTGTTTTCCAGCGCCACTTTAGGAACAGCACTGTTAATTAGAACCCAACAGTGAATGGTCGAGTGGGGAATCCTACCAAGGCATCAGAATTAATTTTAAATAATTAAATTAAATTAAAAAATCCCGGCCAACGGTGGGATTCGAAACTGAGACCTTCCGATCTCAAAGTCATGACTCTAACCACTGAGCCAACCCACCCCCCTTCTAAGATTTTATTTATCAAATATTTATTATTATACAGGGTGTACCAATAAAAATTCCCAGGCCGGATATTTTGGTAATAGAGATATTTTAATTCTGTAAAAGCCAGTTCATAGAGCGCTAAGAGAGCTTTAGTTTGTAACGTGATATATATAGTTATTATATCTACTTGTTTAATGTGTTTGAGCTCAATTGATAGGGCGTGGGTTAGGCTATTAAATAACTCGAATAACTTTGAAGAAGGAGTTGGGTACCACTATATTTAAAGCTTACTACACTTGACTCTAGATTAGTGATAAAAATATAGAAAATCACTAACAAATAATACTTAAATCATGCTTTAGATAAGGTAGTTATCAAATTCTAATTCACATAAGTTGCACTGAATTCAAATTTAAAATGATTTATTGTGTAAGCACTTATCTTTTGGTAAGTTAGGTAATATACTGAATGTAAATCTAGTGTTAGAAGTTAAAAGAATTAACTTCAAAATTATTGTTTTTAAATTATTTATCACCCTGTATCCCATAACACCCTGTATAGCCACACAAAACACGTGTTAACATGGTTTTATAATGTTTTATTAAATATTTCGTAAACAATGTTTGAAATGTAATTAATTAAGGAACAAAATAAAGAATGTCTTTAACGGCATATTGCCTATCACTTCATCGCGTTCGGCTGGTCGAAAGTCAAGTCCCCGCTCTCGGCGCTCTCTCCTGGTCCTGAACACTCAAACGGATAGACGTGGTATTGTCGACCCCAGTGGCGGCGATATCCTAATTCGCTGACTCTAACAGGGCAGACGTGGTACCGTCGACCCCAGTGGCGGCGATATCCTAATTCGCTGGCTCTAACACTAGGTTATCTCATGGTATTTCATCAGGCAACTTCCACAAAGGGATTCGGGATCATAATTCGTAATTCTGCATAATTCTTCAATGTGAATGATCTTCAAATGATCTTCAATGGTATTCAACTCAACCGACTTGGGATGAAACGTCTAGTGATGAAACGTGAGAATGATCTTCAGTATTGAAACTTGAACTTGAACTCGAAACTGTCTAGCGATGAGACCAAAAACGTCTAGAGATGAATCCAAAACTGTCTAGATATAGCCATGAGCTTATAAAATTAGACGGATTTTACGATAAATAAAAATCATTTAGTACATCGGATGACCAAGATACATTAAAATAAAAGTGATTCAAATGAAAAATGAAAACTTTTGATACAAGGCATAAACGACAAATGACATTTGAGTAAGAGGTGATTGTGTCGAAATAACGAAATAACGGTTCCAACTGTTATAAGTTTTAGATATAAATTAATTTTAAATGGGTCAATTTGTAGATGACGCTGCGCTCAATATTTTATTTTTTTTTTTTTTTTTCGTCGGTAGTAGGATCTTTCTTATATAGCGCATCTTGTAAAAAATGCATTTTTATTTCTATAAACTAATTCGATAAATCTAGCCATTATTGATATATAGAGTGGGTCACTTAAAATAGTTTCATCCTGATTTTCGGCATTAAAAATTGGATATTAGGAAAATGCCAAAACAGATCGATTTTTATTATAAATTAAACACACTTTTACAATACAGACATCTGTCATGTGTCAACCCCCCCCCCCCCTTCCACTTCTACAACCTCCTAATTTTAAATAAGGAATGTACCATGTACGGCACATCATTGAAAAGTTTATTTTATGGGGAAGTCAGACATATTACTGTTTATTGCGATACTTTTAATTTTAGCACCCTCTTTTGGGATAAAAAACCTGTAACGTATTATAAAGTGTGACACTTCATTTGCAAGCTAATTTAATTACTAATTCAATGAGCGACATAACATTAATATAAATATTTTCATTTTGCACTTGCAACAAAATATAGTTGGCAATAATATTAAAAATAATGCATAACTAATTTTCAAACTATTGCAAGTGCAATATGGAGGATATTTATACTAATGTTATGTGGTGCATTGAATTAGTAATGAAATTTGCTTTCAAATAAGGTGTCGCACTATATAATACTAACAGTTTTTTTATCCCGATAGATGGCCGTTCAATTAAAAGTATCGCAATAAACACTCATATTTCTAAAATTTTTAATGATGTACTACACATTGTAGTGTTACACTCTATAATACATAATAGTTTTTTTATCCTGCTAGAGGGCGATAAAATTTAAGTAACGCAATGTACAGAAATATTTCTGAATCCCCCACTAAATTACCTTTTCAATGATGTGCCATACATGGTACATTACCTATTTAAAATTAAGGCGTTAAAAAAGTGCAAGGGAGGGGTTGACACATGACAGATGTCTGTATTGAAAAAAAATTTGACCCGTTTTAGCATTTTCTTAAAATCCAATGTTTAATGCTGAAAAACAGGATGAAACTATTTTGAATGACCAACACTATATATCAAAAATGACTAGATTTATCGAATTAGTTCATAGAACAAAATCTGCTTAAAAGGGCATTTTTTAAAAAATGCACTATACAAGAAAAATCCTCCCATCGAAAAAAAATATTGAGCGCAGCGCCATCTACATATTGACCTATTTGAAATGAATTTATATTTAAAACTGAAGCTCTCTTAGTGCTCTGTGAACTGGCTTTCACAGAATTAAAATATCTCTTTTACTTTACCAAAATATCCGGCCTGGGAGTTTTTATTGGTACACCCTGTATACAATAATGCATAATCTGTTGCAATTTGATTATGTATGATACATTTTTTAAAAAGTGACCTTTAGTTATTTTATTTTGAATATAGTCACAGTATTTTCTATCCTATAATCTATACAGTGTGGAACAGCCAAATTAAATACGAGTAACTTTCTTATTTTAAATGCAACACCCTGTATATTTTCCAAATTCTGGATTCGTCAGAAAAATTTAGACATATTTTATGTACTATGTCTCATATGTTAATTTTTGCAATAAATCGGAAAACATTTAATATTTCCGAAACATTTAGGTATAGGACATAGTCCAAAAAATATGTCCAGAATTTTCTAAAGAATCCAAAAATTTAAAAATATACAGGGTATTTTATTTAAAATAAGAAAGTTGGTATTGGCCACTGTTACATGACACACTCTGTATAAAAAGCTTTTAATAAAAAAATGCGCAACTAAAAATACCAATCGACGTTTCCGTACACGCCCCCATTTATTAATTACAGAATTTATTCCATTTGGCTGTGCCACACTGTATATTGTTTACAACTTTTTCTAGGATTTAGATATAACTCGCACTGTTGCGTAACGCAGTCATATTGGTTCGGCCCTTCTTTAAAGTCAAATTTAAAATTCTTGGGTTCCCACTTAGGAAAATGCATTTTAATTAAAGGAAAAAGCCGAATGTAAGTTTCTTCTTTCTTATTGGGGAATATATATTTGTATTCATTTCACTGCTTCCTATGTCATAATGCTCAAATTGGGGACAGCAACTTTTAAAGGTATCATCTCCAAAAAAATAATTGTAGGACTCATACGTATTTTGGACAGTCTGTATACAAAATGCTAAAATCTAATATTTGTCCCCATTCTCAAATAACAAAAAATATTTTATGATTCTTTCTAGTAGTGAAATATCTTACCGATTTTTAAACTTCTAAACTACCAATGCTTGGAGTTGAAAAAAGATGTTATTTATTATTAAATGGTTGCAATTCTGTTACAAATTCCAAATCCGCATCAGGTTGTAAAAAAAATGTAAACCTCACTGAGAACAAAGGAATTGTATTTCCTAATTGAATTTTATCGGCAACTTTTCAGACTTATTAAATATTCACTTTCATAACTAGTTTTATTGAATTTGGTAGGACCTCATGTAATCGAGTCCCGAATGCGGAAAAGTTACATCTAGTTTTCAGGTAAATAACCTTGAAGTCTCGAAAGCGGAATAAAAGGTACAAATTCAGGTATAAAATGGA